TTTACGACCATGAAATGAGATAAGGCATGTGAAAAACACTCTCAAGTTGTAATATCCTTCATAAAACTAAGATGCTATTAGCCAGGACTTTAAAGTAAAAACTAAAGAGACTATTTGGACCTATGAAGAATTCGTCATAGCGTCTATCATTTATAAATCTTAGATGACCTTCAGTTTTTAAGGACTCCAAGTAGTTATTCATCTTTCCCTAACCCCCTGAGCATATATCAGTCAAAAATCACTAGCATTATGTTCCAGGAGCCTAATTCTTATTCCACAAAACCCTGGGGGACCCAAAAAGGATAAAAATCTGACCTATGTTAGTGCCTACACTCACTATATAACAGTGCACATACCAAACATTTTCAAAATATATCTCAGAATAGCAGAATAGCAAAACCAGTTCTCACGTAGCAAAATTAACACAGACCTTGTCAATTTTCTCTTCTCTGTTAACTTGTCATACTCGCAGACCCTCATTTATCAATGCCTTTCCTGTTGACCTCAACTTCATGAAATCCTGCATCTTTTGTGAATATTGCTGGTAAGCTTTGCATTACACTTGCCCTGGATATTAGTGATAGTTAATTACCAGGACTGATATTAAGCAGGGAGGCAGTCATGAGTAGAAAACGTATTGGCTCTCAATCCATTGGTGGATGTTGTCCTATCCTGATGGCTTTTGCATCCCTGTGTACTAAATGCAGAAACCAGGATAATGAATGGTCAGGAAAGGAGAACACCCTATTCCTACCTCAAAAGGTTGCCATGAGTATAAAAATGAAATTGTTCTTGGCATACAGTAAGCTTCCATAAATGTTGCTTATTTGTGTTTTTAAAGATACAAGGCAATAAGCAGAAGCCATTTGGCATAAACAAGGAGAGATGGAAGAAGTAATCAATGGTGAGGTAGGAAAAAATCTACAGAGGGAAAGTGAAGAAAGAGGTGCTGAGTTACCAGCATGACAAGTAGAATTACCCTGGGCTCCCTCGCTGATCTGGGACACTGTGGCCTTGCTCAGTTTCCTGGCTCTTTTTGCAGACTCCAAGGACATTGTGACAATAGACTGCTATCACCTGAGGTAACCGAAGGATGTCTCAACCCTGAAATAACAAAACCATCTATTTGTTAAATTTTAATCAACCGGACCTGCTCTGAGAAGATACTGACAAAAGAAACACTCCCTTCACCTAATGAAAGAGCCTTTTTCTTTTCCGATTTAATTGGGTCTCTGACCTGTTCTGTTCCTTGAGATTCAATAGATCTCAAAGTATACTTTCTCCAACCTTCATTTTTTAAAAAAATCCTTAGTAATACATTAAGTATATATAACACTCCATAATTTATGAAGCATTTTATGCCACATTCACAAGAGGAGAGTGTATCAAATCCTGGGAATGAAATCTTGGAATTTTCATTTTTAATAAAATGACCTAGATGAGTATACAGCTTCACAATTTTTCACCTACTGAATGAGAATCAGATTCCAGTTTTATCTTCTCAGGAGTATTCACCTGTCATCGGAACTGAAGTTGTGGGTATTTAAAATCTCTTCAATCACACAAGGTCTTTTGGTTTATTACATAAATTACTAATACCATCCATGGGTTTTTCATTAATTAACTAATTCATTATTCTATTCAATAGTGATATTGAGCATGCAATTAACATGTGTCAAGCAATGTATTAGAGGCTAGGTTTTACTAGCTCACCTTTCAAGGTCAACCTTTTACAGACCAGAATTACATAGTTAGGGTACCCATGAGGAGACCTGTCCATGACAACCCAAACTGAATTTCCCATAGAAACATCAATTCTATAATAAAAAACATTTGAAATTCCAAGTAGACAGAATTAGAATTCAAATCCCAGCTCTGCCAGTCTTGACTGCTATTTATTTGGAGCAATTTCTCCAAACATCTATAAAATGGGAATAATAGCACCTGTCTCATGGGATGTAAGGATAAGAGACAATGCTAACATATGTAAAGTGCCTGGTCAGTGTTTGGCTTGTATAGTTGATGCTTAATAAACAATACATATTGCTATTATTATTAAAGGAGGCAAGACCAGACTTTTTTATAAGGGAGAGTCTTAGAAACCTCGATATCCTGTATTATCAATATTCCCATTTTCCAAACGAAAAGAAAATGCTTAGAGAAAAGTTAAATCGTTCATCCATGTGACAAACTTATTTGGCATTTACTATGTGCCTGACCAGAGCTAGTCTCTGCACATACAAGGATGAAGAGGATAGTAACTAAACTCAAGCACTCACTGTATCCCAGAGGAGACACGTAAGAATGCTAAATGCCCCCAAAGAGGGAAGCCCAGGGTTGTGGGAGCACATGAGTGAGCTCCTTCAGGACGCTAGTGAGAGTGGGAGTCAAGGCGGCTCCCCAAAGGGGATGTCCTAGCTGAGTCATGATGGAAGTAACCTGACAAAAAGTGGTTCATCAGTGGCAGCCTGGCCTTGAAACCAAATCCTTGGCCCCAAAACCAGTGAACTTCTCACTATACTATAGCTCCTGTGATTAGATTCAACTAACAAGTACTTTTTTTAGCACTTGCTTTACAGAAAAGTCTGTAGTAGGTGTCAACAAAGGTGAATAATTACAGTTCTCTTGTCATGAAAGCAAGAGGAACTAAGACAGACATACAGATAACCAACTCAAAACGTAAGTGGCGAAAGAGTGTAGTATTCACAATTAAGTATTGGATGTTCTACTTCAGCTTTTAGCTGGTTTTCAGATTTCCAATGTGGAGGCGAGTGATTCCACACATCCCATGTGGTAACGGGCCAATAACACCACCACAGATGATTCCACAGATGTGAATACCACCAGGTAGCAAAGCTAAGGGGATATGATTCACCACTTTATCTGTAAATTGTAATACAGGTTCTTTAATTTCTGCTTCACACAAATTAAAAGGAGCTTCTTTTCTGACTTGTAGGTGCCAAGAATTCCGTATTTCACTGTACAGAGTGCTTCTGCTTACTTTAAACTGTTTACTGGTAAACCTATTTAAACTATTTTATTGGGGCGCCTGGGTGGCTCAGTCGGTTGAGCGTCGTCTTCAGCTCAGGTCACGATCTTGCGGTTCGTGAGTTCGAGCCCCGCGTCAGGCTCTGGGCTGATGGCTTGGAGCCTGGAGCCTGCTTCCGATTCTGTGTCTCCCTCTCTCTCTGCCCCTCCCCCGTTCATGCTCTGTCTCTCTCTGTCCCAAAAATAAATAAACGTTGAAAAAAAAAATTTTTTTTAATAAAATAAATAAATAAATAAACATTAAAAAAATAAAAAAAATTAAAAAACTATTTTATTTAAGGCAACAACATCTTTGTAGTTGAAATTTTCCTTTAGTTTTCTTTTCAGTGCTTTCTTCATCAGATTTGGGGATCAGAATTATGCTTGCCTCAGGAAATTATTGAGAAAACTTCCCACCACCCTGTGCTTTGGAGCAATATAGGAATTATCTGGCTCCTAATAGTTTTATTCAGTTCTAAAAATCCTATGGAACTCTGAAGTCAGTACTTACTAACAGCAGTGCTGCCTGATCAGTACAGATTCACCTTCAGAATCCTTTTTTTTTAATTTTTATTTTTGAGATAAAGAGAGAAAACAAATGGGGGGAAAGGTAGGAAGAGAAGAGAAGGGAGGACCCAAAGTGGGCTCCATGCTGACAGCAACAAGTGAGGTCATGACCTGAGCCAAAGGCAGATGCTCAACCAACTGAGCCACCCAGGTGCCCCTCAGACTCCTTCTTAACACAGCATTCCACATAACCATTAAGTGACAAACATAGATCAGTTAATTTAGTTTCAATCTTTCTTCTACGGTTGACCCTTGAACAACATGAGTTTGAACTGCAGCAGGTCCACTTACACATGGATGGCTTTTCAATAAATACAGTACAGTACTCTAAATGTTTTTTCTTCCTTATGATTTTCTTAACATTTTCTTTTCTTTAGCTTACTCTAGTGTGAGAATACAGTATACATACAACATACAAAATATGAGTTAATCAACTGTTTATATTAGTGGTAAGGCTTCCATCCAACAGTATTAGTGGTTAAGTTTTGGGGAAGTCAAAAGTTATATGCAGATATTCAATTGCAAAGAGTGAGACCCCCAAGGCCCTCATTGTTCAAGGGTCAACTGTATTAGAGATGAATTTAAGGGGCACCTGGGTGGGTTAGCTGGTTAAGCCTCTGACTTTGGCTCAAGTCACGATCTCATGGTTCATGGGTTTAAGCCCCATGTCGGGGTCTATGCTGACAGCTCAGAGCCTGGAGTCCGCTTGGGATTCTCTGTCTCCGTCTCTCTCTGTCCCTCCCTGATTTACACGCGCGCATGCGTGCTCTCTCTCAAAAATAAATAAACATTAAAAAACAAACAAACAAACAAAAGAAATTAATTTAAGGGGCACCTGGGTGGCTCAGTTGGTTAAGTGTCCAACTTCGGCTTAGGTCATTATCCTGCAGTTCATGGGTTCCAGCCTCACATCAGATTCTCTGCTCTCAGCAGAGCCTGGAGCCTGCTTCAGATTCTGTGTCCTACCCCCTCTGTCTCTGTCCTTCCCCACCCCTCTCTCTTTCTCTCTCTCTCTCTCTCTCTCTCTCTCAAAAATAAATAAACATGTTTAAAAAAAGAAATAAATTTAAGATTTGAATTATTTTCTGTGTATGGCTTTGACAAAATCCCATAGATTTTCATATGTAATTATCCCCTTTTTAATAATTTCTAAATAGCCATTGACTTTTATTTTTATTTCCTCCTTGGCCTATAAGTTCTTCATTTAGTAAAATACCCATAGAAAGTAAAACCTAGGGAAACTTACCATGTGTGTCGCTGGTACAGTTTCCAAAATAATGTCACTTTACCCTCACCGATTGTCCCTGAAGCACACCCTTGTTTAAACCTCTACTGGTTTATAATGGAAACCTTGTCAGGTTACAATGAGGAATCATCCACTTACTTCTCAAGAGGCCCCAACATACCTGCTGTTCAAGTCTCCTCGGGTTTTGCTTCAGTTAATCTCCTCTGTTGCACACATTCCTGAAGTTCCACATTTTTCTCGTGTCAGTGGTATCTTTCTCTCTTTTCCAGTGGTCCTATAGAAGTTTTCTTATTTCCTCCTTTTTTTTCTTTCTTTTTTTTTTTTTTTTTTTTTTTTTTTTTACAACTTTGCTTCTTTTGATGGACTGTGGAGAAGCAAAGAAGGTAAATCCATAGGCTCAGAACAGGATTGTGAAGGCAGAAACCCAAAATCTATTTTAACTGTTTCAAGTGCGACCCACGTGTCCATACCCTTAGTAAGGCTTTCCTGTTTGCTTTCCTCTTCTTAAACCTGAGACAGTTATCTAATATGATCATTATATATGTTATACGTTCTATATACTAATGTTATAATAAATTTGAACATTATGAGCCAAATAATGCAATAGTGTCTATGTGTGAACAGGAATTCAGAGCTTAAAAACAATGAAAATATGAAGAAAAGTATTTTCTATAATTATGAGATTTAAAACCATTAAGCAACATTTTGTCCATTTGCCTAACAGAAGCAAAAAGAGGAATCCCATTACATAATGGTCCAAAATGGAAATTCCTAAAAACTCTCAGAAACAAGGTACTTTTAAATATTTTTTTAAAGGACAAAGAATTTTTTTTAAGTTTATTTATTTATTTTGAGAGAGGCAGAGACAGCATGAACAGGGGAGGGACGGAGATAGAAGAAGAGAGAGAATCTGGCAGTGCAGAGCCTGCAGCGGGGCTTGAACTTACGAACTGTGAGGTCACAACCCGAACTGAAACCAAGAGTCAGACACTTAACCAACTGAGCCACCCAGGTGCCCTGAAACAAGCTGGTTTTATATTACATTTGATTTTTTTTATTGAATTGTCTAGGGCAATACAGATAGACATATATATGTAAATAATAGATACATGGGAGAAGACACTTGCAAATCATATTTCCAATAAGGGGTTAATATCCAAAATATATAAAGAACATAAGCAATTCAATATCAAAAATGGTAGCTAGACCTATTGCAATGATCAGTGCACAATGTATACAAATGTCAAATTGCTATGTTGTACCCATGAAACTAGTAGAATCCTGTATGTCAATTATACTTCAATAAAAAATAATGGTATGTAGGTGACTCCATTCACACTTGATCTTAGCCAAAAGGCCAAGAAGCGATAGGTGACTCCATTCAAATACATATTGCAATAGGTAGTGAAGTGAGAACAAATGATAATATCATGTGATTTTTTAATCCTGTGGGGGTTGTTCAAATATTTTGATTAGAAGAAATATGAGATTATTCACACATTCATAATGTTTTAAATGAACATCTTATATATCACTACCTTGTCAATTCTTCCTCCTAATTTGGATCTCTGTACATTAATTTTACAAAAAAAAAGTGTTCTATTTACACTAGGTAAATAGATTATCTCATAAGAGCAAACAGAAGAAATAGCAACAGAAAGAACAAAAAATTAATTTATAAATATAATGAAATCCAGTGTTATACAGAAGTTATTTTATAAGGTTATAACCAGATTTTGATTACAGGTATTAAGAGCATATGAATTTCTGACAGAAGTCACACTGACAACAGCTGGTAGACTTCCTGGAAGTGTAATCATTCATTTATTCATTGATGCTTCCGTCTATCCATTACCTCAGCACATTTTTATTGAATATCCTCCATGTTCCAGGATACAATAATTTAAAGAAGGAGGAGGAGAAGAATGAGAACAAAAGCAAGAACGAGGACAACAAGAAGAAGAGAAGGGGTGGTCTAGTGGGCAACACTGATGAGAAACCAGACACTTTTCATTCACTGGGGTAAGTAAATTAACAGGTGCTGTGGAAACATTATGGAGAAGCACCTTACCCAGATCTGTTTGTGTGTTGAAGGAAAAGCATGTAGGTGGCAGCCAGGAGAGAAAGTTCATTCAATTGATACTTTAGAAGTATGAATAATACAGAAAAGAGATGAAAAGTGAGGAGAATGAAAAAGATCCAAGTAGAGGGAACAGCATGAGCAAAGCAATGGAGGAAAGAAGCAGCATGGCATGTAGAAGGAACTAAAAAAGTTGTGGAATAACAGCATTGAAACCAAGGCAGTGGTAATAAAAGGCTGGAAAGGCATTCAAGGGCCAATAAAAAGGATCTTGTAGGTCGAAATTTAAAGATTTTAGAACTTATCTTAAGGGGAATGGAAAACCATTAAGTGGTTTTAATCAGGAAAGCAGTAATGATCAGACAAGTGTTTTAGTAAAATCATGCTGACTATAAAAAGCAGAAAATTTACTGGAAAGGATCAATTACAAGATGAGAAATCAGTTAGAAGCCTTACTTGGATCCATAAGATAGATAATAAGAAAAGCGGAAGTGGGAATGAAGAGAAATTTATTGTTCCAAAACACATTTAGGAAGCAAAATTAATAGGCCGATGGATACAATACAGGACGGAGAGAGGGTGGAGCTCAAAGGTGGCCACTCCCTCCACGCCCACATTTGGTCTCAAGCGATTGAGTGCACATAGCACTGTTCACTGAGATAGAAAACAAAGGCAAAGAATCAGTTTACATGCAAAGATGGGAAATGCTATTTTTAACAAATTCGTTTGAGTCATCTAAGTGAATCAAGCCAGTGGACAAGTAACTAAGGTCTGAGATGAGGAGAGACGACAGCCCTGGGATTCACCAGCATACAGATCACATTTGAGTTTACAGGCATGGGTGCTGGCAGTGAGTGTGCAAAGAGAAGCCACCTCAGGGACTTCAAGATTTAAAGGACAAATGAGCAGATGTTTCAAAGGGGCAAGAAAAACAACTTCTTCCCACACAGAAAGTAAATCTGATATCCCCATAAAGTTTCTGACTTAAATCTAAGAGACCTTTGGATAAGGTTCTCCTGACTACCTTAAACTCACATATTTGCTAATCTTTCTTACTTCTCATAGCTATCATCAACTCTCTCTTCCCGTCCCCTCTCCTGACACACACATACTTACAAACACACTTTCTCCTTTCCTGAGTACTTAAGCACTTCTCTGTCAAATCAAAAAGCAGTCTGTTGGGGTGCCTGGGTGGCTCAGTTGGTTAAGCTTCTGACTCTTGATTTTGGCTCAGATCATGATCTCATGGTTCATGAGATCGAGCCCCAAGTCGGCTCCACACTGAGCTTGGGACCTGCTTGGAATTCTCTCTCTCTCCTCTCTCTCCCCAACCCGCCCCCACTCGTGTGTGTGTGTGTGTGTGTGTGTGTGTGTGTGTGTGTCTGTTGTGTCTGTACATGTGCTTACTTTCTCAAAATAAATAAATAAACATGTTTTATTATTAAGAGTGTGTTAAGGAGGTCTGTTTATATATTATATAACAAAAATAAATCTTGAATACTTAATATTTAAGGAAAGGGAGATACTCCAACCTGGTAACAATTTCGCAAAGCAGAGACAACTTCCTCCAGTTATTCCTTAGATTTTATTTCAATCATTCCTAAGCCCAATGAATCATGATGCTCCCCAATAGGCAGGATAGCCAGGATCTCCAGGAGGTGGAAAGGAAGAGGTGAAAAAAAAGAAATTTCAAGTTTATTGAAATTCTGGAGCTCTTAGTTCCTGCGGGGTATTTCAGGACAAGAATTAAAGGCTTATCACCCTTCGGCAAGGTAATAGGAGGAATGACTCACTGCACCATTCCTTACATCCTGGCATTGATCTTGATGTATTCATTTAAGGAAACTCTATGATCAATTAAAAAAAAAAAAAAGCTCTCTCAGAAAAAAATGGTCTCCATTTTACCAAAGATAAAGTTTTTATACCAGCTTGAGCCCCAGCAGTTTCAGGATATGAATTTATTCACGTATTTCCTGTTCTTTGGAGAAGGAAATGAAAGTCTACAAATATGAACAGACTTTCCTGGAATATTGAAGTAACACAGCATTGAGTTCTGCTGAATCAGCATTTTGAACACTCAAGCTGCTGTGGTTCCACTGGACAGCACGTCCTGTGAAGTTTCTCCTCCCCTGGTCAGTGGAAAGCAGTAATTTTGGGAATATTCTTTTGGCCCTCTCTGACCTGATGTTCACTACAATAGGAGTTCATCTCTATAAACTCGCAAGTTGAGTGTTAGCCAAGTCATCAGGGACACCCAGCCCAGACAGAACCAGTGGACCCCCATCCAATCTGCAGATTTATTGTCAGTAAGATTGAGTTTCTAATTGAGCCAGACAAGGTCTGGGTGCCTCATGGCCTATGGATGGGCCTCTGTGAAGAAAGCTGCATCCAGTTTTTAATACCTCCAGAGCTGATTATCCTGGACTGAAGCACCCTGATGGGCTTCTGCATCATCACACATTTTACCACATGTAAGAACAGTTTGAAAAAAGTTATGTTTTCTTCATTCATACTTGGATTGTACATTCCTGAAATGTGAGAACTTTTTAAATTCCACTTATTTCTTCCTTATTTGTTAAAGGTGAAATTGGTGAAGCAAGTTGAAACCTTTGTAGGGCCTCCATAATCTCCCCCCACCCCTTCCCATATGTATTCAAGGCCAGCCAGACATGGAGAGGCTCTAAGAATAGGAAGTTTTTGGGGTGCCGGCATGGCTCAGTCGGTTAAGCATCCAACTCTTGACTTGGGCTCAGGTTATAAGCTCATGGTTTGTAAGTTCGAGCCCTGCACTCTCAGTGCAGAGTCTTCTTGGGATTCTCTCTCTCCTTCTCTCTCTGCCCTTCCCCTGCTCTCTCTCTCTCTCAAAAATAAATAAACTTTTAAAAAGATGTTTATCTTAAAAAGAAAGAAAGAAAGTTTTCTGTAGCCTGGATGGGTAAATAAGGTCTCTGGGGCCCCAGAATGAAAATTTTAGTCAAGAGAAGAAGAAACATTAGCCAATAAATTGCTGTATCTGTCCCCACTCCTTCACCTTTATTAAGGTCTGCCCTAGTTATAAGACACTGGGCTGGTTCCAAGAAGAATGCTCATTGGTGTTCTCTATAACTTGTGTGGCCATCAGAGTTTTGCCAACCTGATGGGCTCTAGGTTGGGCTCTAGGCTCAGAGAACCTTAGACCTTGGAGAGTCTTCTCATGGCCATGGTACTCTGTG